TAAGTCCCATGGCATATTCTTACCCCCTTAGGTCTCTGTCAGATAGCTTCCCCATCCTTCCCAAGTCCACCTTCTGAGGCCTTGAAATAATATAGCATTGTAATTTCATATAGTTACTGATATGCTGGAGCTTTATTTGTACCCTCAGAGATCTCATCTGAAAACAGTGGCTGATGGTGTAAGTAAAGCGCATCTATGTCACAAGAAATATTACCAAAAGTGGCACTATTTATCTCTTTACCCAAATCTAATTCAGCTTCTTCTTTAATTGTGGTAAAATTCTGCCCATTTGTGCTGTTAAAAGACATGCTTCCTCAAGTTTTAGTTTCAGTAGAAAAGGAACACGCCAGCAACTATAAGAGGAAAACAAGTAGAGAAATGGCTAAGAGCCAATACTGTGTGATGGGAAGATTCCTGCATCTCTAGGATCTCAAACTGTCTGCAAGGCTGAGATAAATATTAAATACTCTCCTCTCACATGAAGATGACCAAAAGCAATTGTATTTTAAGCGAAAGTAAAATTGCTGATTTTTTTTTTTAATCAAACAAGAAGGCTGGATGTACCAATCTTCTGTTGAATTCCTGGAGAAAATCATCTCCCAGGATCTCGGTTTCTTAATAAATATGGAGATGACAGCTACTGGCATCCAGAAAACCAAGCACTGGGTTAAGGACCTCAGCCCAATGTTTAGGCCCTTAGACTTATTAGCAGCCTCAGCTAAGACAGAAATAGAAGGCTGACTCCAGCAACAGTGACTGAGACCTGCATTTGCCTGTTTATAAATAATAGCATGTTAATGAAAACCCCAGGTCTTATATTTTTAGCCAATTATTTAACTTATATTCCTTAATAATAACATCTGTTATCTTGAACTAAAAATATGTGCCTTCAATGTGTTAAATCAGTCTCTATTTTCCATCATTTCTGCTGTGGAAGTTATTTGTACCCTCTCTTAACCTCTCTACTTCCTGCAACCTGTCTCTGCCTATCTCCTAGAATTCACAGCAGCCAGTAGCATCATGTTATTTTTAGAACTCTGTCTTCAAAACATAGTACAGAGAAAGGAAGTAATGAAAAGGTCTCTATTGACTATTCACATTTAATTTTGTGACTCAGTGGATTTGATCAGTCATTTTCTGATAGGGCTAGATAGGCAGCCTAATTTGCAATGAAATAAGGTTCAATGGGCACAAAAGCAAAAGCTCTAAAATGTTAAATTTCCCAACCATTAACAACGGGGGATGACAACAGCTCACTTCAGGGTAGATCAGGTTTCTTCCTGGTTTGCTTTCCAATGTGATATTAACATCCAACTGAAATAACTACCGTATGCTTTTAACCTTGTCCCCCAAAAGAAAAATCAATTCTAGAATTTGAGGCAGAAAAGGCCCACAGAGATCACTTAGATCCAGTTCCCTCATTTTAGAGACATTGAATAAGGGGGGAAGTCAAGTGGCTTACTCAAATTCACTGTGAACCTCACAAGATCTCCTTTAAAGGATATTATTCAGACAAGACACCTTTAAGGACTTCCCAAACTTGGGAATCTAGGACTCCAGAGACCGCGCTTTCAGAATCCCTAAACCAAAGGTACTGTCACAATAAGGGAATCCTTTGGTGCCAAAACCACACAGCAGTATCCTTGTAAGTCAGTCATCTGGTGATTCGGAATACATGCCTATGTCCATTATTTTCCCATTATTTTATCAAATGGAGAACACAAAATATAAACTCCCTTTGAGAATGTGAGGACTCTTCAAAACCCAACAACCCAAGTTTGAGAAACTCAGGACTTTAGCAAAGGCACCTACCAGACCATGTTAGTGAGGATGCAAAATCTTAACCAACAGACTACCAGGACCTCGTTTCATGATTACTTTCTCTTTTCCCAAAGCAAATGATTTCTTTGGAACAAATGTTAAGTCTTCACATTTTGCCAAGCACTGCAAGAGGTGTCTACTCAAAATGTGGTCTGAGGACCAACAAGGTCAGTATCACCTGAGAGATGTTAGAAATGCAGATAGCCAAGCTCTCCCCCACCCAAACCCACTGCATCATTCTGTAGTTACACAAGATTCCAAGCGGTGTTGTCCATGCATCAAAGGTTGAGAAGGACTTTCCTAGAGCACTTGTTCCAATTAAAATCATTTCGGGAGCTTTTCTAAAACAGTAGATTCTTAAGCTCCTCCCCAGCCCAACCCCAGCAGAACCCCTGGGATAATGAAGTTAAGAACACAGCTCTAGGACAAGTCCGTGAAGTGGGGGTAACAACCGTCCCTTGTTCTCAAGGACACATGGAAAGCATTTAGCAAGTATTTTATAAAGCTAGTCATCATACCATTGTTGGTATTGTATGCTGTCAAACAGTCATGCCACATTCCATTCAACAAGTAATTGTTAACTGCCAGCTAACACATAATATTGCCAAGTTGCTTAGAAAACCGCTTTCCTATATCCAGTACAGAATTGTCAAACTAAAATGCAAGTAAAACCATGTATTTGGCACTGCACTACCATTAGGTGACTGCTATTTTCTCCATATTAGAGGCAGAGCAGAGTTGGTGAAAAAGTAGCACCTGATTAAATAGAAATAACAGCTAATACCATACTCAGTATTTTTATTCCAGCCGATTTCTACATAAACACTTATTTAATTCTCCTGACAATGCTATGTGAAATGTGTTCCATACATCAATGTTTGTGTATCTCTTTGAGCTCAGTTCCTAGATGTGAGAATCACTGTGTTCAAAGGATAATGAATCTTCAAAGCTATTGACATGTACTGCTAACTATCTCTCACAAAAGGTTTATAAAAATTTACATTCAAAGTAATATAGGCAAAAGGCCTATTTCCCCATAACTTTGTCAGCATTGGGTGTTCTTCAATTCTCCAAATCTTTAATAAAAATTTGTTATTCCTCAGGAATATAATGTAGGAGGAAATGACTATTCCAGCTAAAACAATCTGTGATGAATAGTCTGCCATGACAAGAGAAGTCTCCCAGGGACCCAAGAAGCCAGGCACGACGAAAAAGAAACACTGTCTTTTTGGTTAAAAGAATGAAAAAGTTAGATTTTACCTTGAAAAATAAATGTGTCATTCCATTATGGATGGGAGTGATAAGATTTACTTTTTTTTTTTT